GGGCCGATGTGTCAGCGGGATCCGGCTGCAGGTGTCCAGACGGCCCTGCGCGCTGCCAGGTCGCGGCTGAGGCAGCGTCATTGTGGGTCCCGTGCCCTGCGTGTGCCCCAGGGGCCCTGGGGCGCTGGCGCGCGGGGTTTATCGCAACGCCCGTCAGTCGGGGCCTTGTTGGCTGTGTGGGGGTTGCCGCTGTTGTGTCTGCCAGCGGGGCAATGTTTGTGCGCAGATGGCAGAGCCGTGAAAAGCCCCCAATGTTCGTGCCAAGGCTGCTGTGAAGGGCTTTGGTTTGCCAGCCGCTGGGCGGTGGGGGAGGCAGGTGGCAGCCGGGCAGGGCAGCTGGCTGCCTCGCTGGGGATTTCCAGCTCCTTCGGGGCTGCCGTGGGGCTGCAGGGGAGATGCTGCGGGGAGCCAGGGGGGACCCAGCGCGCTGTTCCTCTTCCCTCCCCTCAGGCCCAGGGCCCCTGCCAGTGCCCAGCCCCGCTGGGAGCCCCGGCCAGCACCACGGACGGCGCCCAGGAAGCCCGAGTGCCCCTGGACGGGGCCTTCTGGATTCCCCGGCCCCCGGCGGGTTCGCCCAAGGGCTGCTTCGCCTGCGTGTCCAAGCCCCCTGCCCTGCAGGCGCCGGCGGCCCCGGCCCCCGAGCCCTCGGCCTCGCCCCCCATGGCGCCCACCCTGTTCCCCATGGAGGCCAAGAGTGGCAAGACGGACAGCGTGCGGGCCGCCGGCGCCCCCCAGGTCTGCAAGCACCTTGCGGAGAAGAAGACCATGACGAACCCCACGGCGGTCATCGAGGTCTACCCGGACACGGGCGAGGTGAACGACTACTACCTGTGGTCCATCTTCAACTTCGTCTACCTCAACTTCTGCTGCCTGGGCTTCATCGCCCTGGCCTACTCCCTCAAAGTGAGTGGCGGGGCGGGCGGGGCGGCCCTGGCTGCGCCTCTGTCCCACCCTCCCCGAGAAGCCCCGTGTGGCTGGGGAATGGGACAGGAGACCACACAGAGGGACGCGGCGAGCCCCGGCCGCCCTCCCCGTGCTGGGCTGGGAAGCTTCGGGTGTCTTGGTAGGGCTCGGGGCCCTCAGGGCCAGGTTCTCCATGTGGCCAGCGAAGTCGGTGGGGTGGGACTTGGGGCTCAGGGTCCTGTCCTCTGGCTGGGGGATGTGGGAATTAGACCTGGACACGGCTGCCCCTAGGCTTATGGGGACGGAGCGGCATGGAGGTGAAGAGGCCCTGGGGTCCCCCCCTGCTGACGCGAGGAGGGCGAAGGCAGGGACCGCTGACACCTGGTCCAGGCCCCTCGCTGGGGAATCCGACACCAGGCAGACACTTGGAGGGCGGCCACGACACACTGGTCACCGGTCACAGCTCTCCACCTCCCCTCCCTACACACGGTTCTAGACAGTCTGTCTAGGCGGCCGGGAGCCGGGGGAGAGCCGTGCGCACTCGGAGCCCACCTCCCGCCCAGGTGGGTGGACGTCCAGAGCCCCTCGCTGCTGAGAGAGGAGGGGCCGGAGCAGACAGCCCCCCCAGGGCAAGGTGGGGACAGATCACAGGAGGGAAGCTGTGGTAGCTCACACTTGGGGTGGAGAGACCCAGACGGCCGTGTGTAAGGACAGAGAGCCCCACCCGCGGGAAGAGGTTCCTTCCCCTCCCAGCCCCAGCCCCCTGTCGTCCGGGGAGGGCTTGGCCCAGGTCTGGCGGGATCATCCGTCTCCCCAGATTTCAGTGTCCAAGGTCAGCGGGGTTTCGTTGATGGTGTCTGACCAGAAAGGCGGAGACAGCGGGGGTGGGATAGGTGCCGGACGTGGGGCTGCCGGGCGAGGAGAGGCTGGCGGGTGGGAGGACTGGGACAGCTCTGCCGCTGTGCATCTGTGAGCCCCA